TCACTTGAATATCTCTCATTTTCAAATAACAACTTTCAAGTCCCAAATTCCTTTTCGATGTTTGCTAACCACTCCAAGCTTAAGGTCCTTATGGGCGATGCCAACAATTTAGTGCCAGAACCTCTCCTTCAAACTCCAACTCCAAAGTTCCAACTTATATTTTTGAGTTTGTCTTACCTTGCATTAAAAGAACCTCCCTACTTCCTCCGTCACCAAAATGTCGCTAGGGCTGTTGATCTCTTCCACAACAACATTACAGGAGGATTACCATCTTGGTTGTTCATGAACAATACAGCATTAAAAGGACTTCGTCTAGGATATAACTGCATTTCAGGACCTTTGCAGTTGCCTGCACAACGTCATTTCAACATTACAATCTTAGATGTATCTGGCAATAGTTTACAGCGAAATCTTCCTATAAACATGAGTTCAGTCTTTCCCCATCTTAAAACCTTAATCATGTCTAAAAATTCATTTGAAGGTCAGATTCCTACTTCTTTTGGTGATATGAAATCATTAGAATCTTTAAGCCTACCAAACAATCATATCTCTGGGAATATCCCTGATTCCTTTGGTCGTTTGAGCTTTTTATCCTATTTAGACTTGTCCAACAACCAGTTGTCTGGAGGAATACCTGAACTTCTAGTCTTGGGTTGCCCCTTGAATGTTCTTAGATTGTCAAATAATAATTTGGAGGGGCAAGTATTTCCTCTTCTTTTCAACTTAACAAAGTTATCTGTTTTAAAACTGGGCAGTAATAACTTTGAGGGAAAGATACCTGAGTTTTCATCTATCAACTCTTTTTATCCATGGATTATAGACATGAGCAACAACCATATCTCAGGCAAGCTTCCACGATGGATGGGAAATATATCATTCTTGCAAGGGTTGTCTTTGGCCAAAAATCATTTTGAGGGTCCTTTTCCGATAGAATTTTGTGGCCTTCATAACCTTGAATTTCTTGACCTCTCAGACAACTACTTGTCTGGCTCTATCCCAGAATGTTTTAATCCAATTAGCATTGAATATGTTCATCTAAGCAACAATAGATTGAATGGGCCATTAACAAAAGCATTCTCTCGTTGCTCTTCTCTGGAGACATTGGACCTTACAAGAAACAATCTAACTGGTATAATTCCCGGTTGGATTGGCAGCCTACCCTCATTGAGCTTTCTTTTGTTGAAAGCTAACTGCTTTGAAGGTGAAATTCCTGTACAGTTATGTCAGTTGAACAAACTAAAGATGTTGGATCTTTCTCAAAATAATCTTTCTGGTTCTATACCTTTTTGTCTGAGTAATTTAACATTTGAGGCACTAGTTTCTTCAAATCAGATTTCTTATTGGATGACTGGAAGTGAATTAGAAATGATATGTTCACTGGTAGAAATATCGAGGAAAGAGCTGGCAAAGAATGGGATTGTGCTTTCAAAATATGGATATGAGTTGATTAAAGTGGAGTATTGGGTAGAGTTTACAACAAAGGGTATGTCACATGTTTACAATGGAAGCATCTTTCGTTACATGTCTGGTATTGATTTATCTTGCAACCGTCTCACAGGAAGGATCCCAACTGAAATTGGATACTTGAATAAGATCCATGCGCTAAATATGTCACACAACAAGCTAACAGGACTGATTCCCACTACATTTTCAAACCTAAAGCAGATTGAAAGTTTGGACATTTCCTATAACAATTTGAATGGGAAAATCCCTCCTCAATTGATTGAGCTAAACACTCTGGCTGTGTTTTCTGTTGCATACAACAATTTATCAGGACCAACCCCTGATCAAAAAGCTTAGTTTGGAACCTTTGATGAAAGTAGCTATGAAGGAAATCCGTTCCTTTGTGGAGCTCCATTACGGATCAACTGCACCAAAATTGAATCACCATCAATTTTGACCAATGTCTCCAATTATGACAGGGAAAATAATGGTTTGATTGACATGAGTGTTTTTTACTGGAGCTTTGTGGTAACTTATGTTGTAGTATTGATGGCAATTGCAACAGTTCTGCACATAAATCCTTATTGGAGACGAGCATGGTTTTACTTCATTGAAGTCTATATCACCTATTGTTACTATGCTCTAGACAAGTTTTGTTAGTTTTCCAAAAGAATCATCTAAACATTGTAGAGTCAAAACTCAAGAGAAACTTGGAGATCAAAATTGTAATAGAAAATGAATATTCAAGGGGTAGCCTTGGATTCAAATAATCTTAATGCAAACTTTGATATTGAAGTTTCCCACTAAGAAAGTTCATCACAGTAAAACATGCATCCACATCAATCCTACCAAATCTCAGTCATTGAAAAATAATGACAACATTTACAAATGTGGCCAAAAAATGATGACTACTTTTACAAATAGAGGTCATATACAAAATGTTGTAGTTTTGTTCTAGGAGAATATGGAGGTAGCTTGATTAGTACAAAAGCTTAAATCAGCATTAAATTAATTAGGGGTACAATGAAGAGGACATGGCTGAAAACCTGACATTCTTCCAACTAAAACAGTGGTGGAAAAAATAGCACTCTGATCTTAAAATGTTCACAAAAAGATGAGAACTCGAGAGCCTTCGCTAACATTTGCAGTCTAAATGTAGCGAAGATACCAAGAGGAACCATCTCTTTAGATTACATATGTCAAAAATGGTCAGCTGAATACCAAAATTTGTTACTTCCTCCTTGTGCCCTCCACCTGTTGTAACCTGTTAGGATATAGCTTGGGAACTTCAAAAAAGTTGTCATTCATTCTCCTTGTAAGAAACCTATCAATTGAGGAAAATCTTTCTGAGAATTGATGACAGAAGCAATTGGTATTTAGTACAGAAATAGAGTACAAAACGATAATTGGAGTAATCCTTCAAAACTTTCATGCCCTCAGTTCACTACGTCGAGCTATACAAGCACAGACAATTGAGAAAATCCGATTATTTAAGCATTCCTATAAGTACATATAGGACATTTGCCCCTTGAGCACCATTGGACCAAAGAAACCAGCATGTTTATGTACTTTTTGCACATCATCTGGTGCCAGAAGACATGGCTTCCTCAATTCTCCTAAATTAGCAAAAGAACATTAGTTACGCTCGTAAGCCATTGTGATGTGTCAAGATCATTGTCAAGGAACCAGAAGACACTAAAGAGAACATCAGCCTCTTGGCCACTGCTAAACATGCAGAAATGGCCATGCAAAAAGTGTCCAGATGCAGGGATTCATATTTCAAATTTTGTATTAAAAAAGAAAAAACCCATAATAAAATTAAAGTGAACAATGCAAGTATTACATACCAACAAGGAGATGGCCTGCTTCATGAACTAGAATCCGACGGCTATATGGAGGCCAGCAACTTGAGATTAAAGCTAAACATGTACCCCCAAAGGCGGGAGAGCCGAGTTTCACGGTGCATTTTCCCCGCTAAAACCGCACTCCTCTTCTCCATTTTTGTTTTTGTTTATTTTCTTCTTTGTTACACTCCTTATAATGCTGAATTGAGGGTTTCTCTCATCCTCTTTACTAATCGAAAGATAGAGCCTCCAATTTTCCCAGAAATCGGAAGACAAAGACAATTTCTTGGATAACGCCGGCTATCCCTAACAGCAACTCGTTTCCATTCGAGAAGATCGTGACCTTCAAATCGAAGAGGAGCGTGGGGACTAGTAGATCTGAAGCCAATTGCACTTCTGGCAAACAGAGATTAACATTTAATGTGGCGGCAGCGCAAGAAGGCCCTCTCTCTCCTCCGATAAAGTTGAAATCACTTCGCAGATGCAGGAATTCGAGTCCAAACAAGCCTTCACATGTCAATGTTCTTTCTATATCCTAATATTCAATGCTTTGATTTTATTAATCTAGATTCTCTTCAAATTTGGTCTAATTAAGCAGTTTTTTATTTCTATTTTTTTTTTCTCCTTGTAAATTTAATCTTAATTGCCTATGAATTTTTCTTTTGGGCCTTCACTTAAAGAATTAGGAAATAGGACAAACTTTTTTTCTCCCGTGCTCTACCTAGGGTTGGGGGTAGCGGCTATGGGTTTCTCTTCGGTTAGGAGTTCCTCCCTCTTCCTCTTCTTCTTCGACAAGGGTTTCTCCTCTTGCTCTCTTCCTTCATCCTCATCGTTTATCTTGCTTTGCAATCTTCAACCCAAGGGACCACAAGGTAGCGGCTCCTTTTGATCGCATTGGCTATTGATTTTTTGACAACTATGTCTGGATATCAAGGGACTTGATCCAGCCGGTGGTTGGATTTCTCCCATCCTCTGAGTCGGATTTTCACTTAGGCATGTCTCCTCAGATGAGATCTTGGCAAGGGTGGCAATCGGAGAAATTAGCGCACTCCAATTTCTGATCTGGCAGCCAAATACCAAAAGATATGGCTGCTAGTGGCACTTTGGGTTTTGATCTGCACGGGAATCATGCTACTCACATTGGTAGATGGGCTCTAGTGGGTAATGATGGGCACATGATTGGAAGTAGTCGGTGGAAATTGGGGAGGCTTGTGTTTGTTTGGAGACTTGGCAAAGAGGAACATAAGGCCATTGGTGAAGCTGATTCTGTTTTGAAAGGGGCTCTAGTTCCCTTCCACAGTTTGGGCAGTAAGGGATTGAGGAGGATTAGTAAAGTGGAGACACAGGCTTATGCTGAAGGGGTTCTTACCCCTCTTCCTGATGGGTAATTTTGTGATAAGGTGACAACATGCAAGTTGGGGACTGTTGTTGTCAGAATCCTTGCTCTCCCCATGAAGCTGGTTAAATAGGTGAGAAAGTCCAGTTAGCTTTGATGCTCATAATGACTCTCTTTTATACATTTGTAGCCTTATTTAACCCATACAACAATTGCATTCGCAATCTCTAGTTGCAGATGGCTCTCTATACTTAATTATCTATATTCGTCATAGGCATAGTTTAAATCTGCTACTAGTGCTGTAGATTATACTTCTAATTTTATTTTTTAGCTATAATGCTTTAGGCTATATGCCCGTGATGGAGATTTCTTCGGTATTCTTATTATTTAATATAATTTTCTCTTTTTCCTATAAAAAAAAAAAGAATTAAGAATTTGGAATTAGGAATGACAATTTAAAGAAGTCATTATCAATAAATTTAAAAAATAAACACATATCATTAATGTTCTAAAATAAAATTTAAATGATTAGTTACAGATCGTGTAAGTTCCATGATTAAAGAAGAAACAAAAATGGATTAAAGCTCATTATATTGAGGTTCGTTGCCCCCATCTTGAGTTTGTCCCTCTCTTCTAATAAGAATGTCTTGAACACTTGATAGGCACGGAACAACAGGAGCAGTAGAGGTAGCTGTGCCTTGCGTGTTGTTGCATATTGCTTCAACTTTGCCACTCGGATCCAAAGAAGTGATTTTTACTAGATTCATCTTAATGTTGGTGCAGGGAACTATACTACTACAATTCAATGTAATTGCAATCTTATCAGCAGAAGTTCCTTGAAAATTCTTAAATGTTACGTTACTTATTTTTAATGCAGTTCCCT